TATAGCAAAATAATTCTTCATCGTTCGCAACTGATGGTGCTTGAAGCTCGTTCTCATGCGCTTCGTTCGTTGGCTCTGATGCACAGGCCCTGGTGAACCAACAGACGCTTCGTACGCTGCCAACGATTCCATGGACGAAGACAGTTCGGTAGGATGAAGGAGTTCTGAAACAAAGTACCCTATTTCATCGAGTACTACTATTTCTTTTCAACTTGATACTTGATTAAAAAAAAAAAAAATACAGAATAGACAAGTGAGAATTGCAAGAATATTCTATTATCCATTACTCTATTCAAAATCTATTTCAAGCAACTTGAGAATCTCCCAATTTCAATAATCAACGAAATACATCTGAATCGTGAACTTTATTATCGAAAAGTCGCGTCTTCGATCGACCACCATCGACGAGTAGAATCGTGTTTCGATCCCGGACGATCGATCCAATCCAGCGAGTCGTTCGTCAAACGAATTTCCGGGCACGTAATCGCGTAACGTCGTTGGTCGAATAAGAGGAGGCAAGTCGCGTCGAGGGAAGGAGATCGGTGCAAGCGTTCGGTGCCGTTGCAAGTTGCAGTTGTTGCGCGCCGGCGGAGCGAAGGAACGCATCCAATAAATAAGACGACGAGGGTAACCATTGAATTCAATCGAGAGAAAGAACGGGTTCCAGCGACGTTCGTGGACAGCCGGCGGCGGCGACGACGGTGCCGTGGAAGGGAACGGGGCAACCGAAGCCAGAAGTAAATCCCCGAGCACGTATCCGCCATTACTGTTTATTGTCCCGAACTTCCATTCCCTACGGACGACGACGGGCTGTTCTCTCTGTCCATGGTTCGCGATCCAGAAAAGAGAAGAACCGATTCCCGTGGACGGCCACACCGCCGTTGGAATTCGTTTTGCCGGGGTGAACGACACGGCCATTTTTCTTTCCCTCGGATCGCCGGAAAAACGATCGCTCCGTTACGATTCCTCGGAACCGGACGACACTTTTGGATGTTCTTTGGTGAACATCCAAAGCGCCAGTCTTCAATTTTACTGATTCTTGAAATAATTTTTATTTACTTAAAATAATACTGTGGCAGTAATCACATTTTCCCTCGAAAGGTTGCTGAATCTCGGGTTCGTTCGATTGAGAAACGTAACGCTTTCCACGGGAAGCAGCTCTATCAATAAACGCGAGCAGAGCGGATCGTCTCTGCAAAAGGAATACGCAAGTTTTTTCACGAGGATGGCCTGGTTCCCAAGCGAACCCGCCGCGCGGAACGAGGCCGATAGAAGGATACTTTGGGTAGGGAGCAGATTGGGAGACGTGGTTTTCGTGGTTCAAGAATGAGATTACAATTTGTCAGGTCCAGGCTAGAGGAGGAAATCGCGCGGATGGCTCGGCTGTTCGAGGCGAGGATCGTCCTCGTTCCGGCAAGAAACTCACGCAGGCGGCATTACAGTGTTCCGCCGGCCATTTCTGTTGCCAGTGGCCACGTATTGGCCACGGCAGCATTCTTTTCCGGCCAGATCGGCCAATCGATGCATCTCGCCACCGATACCCATCTGTCACTGTCCGTTGGGCCCCTAGCCTTTTCTCCGCTCGCGACCGCCGCGCTGGTTACACGGCACGTCCGGTGAATTCGCTCGAATCGACTTTCGTCCGCCTCTCTTCCGGGGGCTTCGGTGGATTCTGGCTAACCTTTTGTCTTGTCACTCGCGTTCGCTTCGATCAGTTTTGGATTTGAGTAGAATTTGGTAGAATTCGGGGGGTGAGTTTCGTTTGCAATTTTTGGAATTTACAGTGCCTTTTGAAATATTTTATAGCATATCAATTGAATTTTAACTAAAATCATATTTTTAGCTTTGAAATCTTTTTAAGCAAAGCGAAAATACTTTTGAACGGAGAAACGACGGGCTGTTATCGAGTTCGCAATTCCAGCGATTCATCGAACGCGTCGCTCCAGCGGACGTCCAGACGGAATAGTTCGAAGGGAACCGTCGGTCGGGACAAAAAGTGTCCCAATTATATATAAAGACAATAAAAGGCGAGCCAGTCGGCTGGTTCCCAGACTGAACAGACAACGCAGCGCCCAACAAGCATCTCTTGGACGATTTTATGGCTGTTGATCGTAAATTCTTGCCGCTAGTCTAAAACTCATCCCCTCTTGGTCGATTATAAAATAACCGAGTCGTTAAACATCAGGAAACAAATCAGAAGAGAATAGAACGAGACTAATAATCCACCCTTTTCATTGTAAATTATGTATGGTGTATGATTGATCATCCACCTTCCCACCCTCGGTTCCCTTTATTTCCTTCATGGTTCGATTTCGTTGGAAAGGAACCATGGAACGTCTTCCGGCATGTTTAAACGTGGGCCAATTAAAAGCAAGCCGCGATACGACATTTGCCAACGCAAGGACAGACGCGTTCGACGGAGCGTATTTATTCAGCTCTCGAAAAGGAAAACCGTTTGACCGGCTGGCACATGTCCAACCGAACAGGACAAAGAGGCGCGGCAAAGTCCGCGTGGCCCTTGTCGAGGATCAATTATAGACAGCCGGCGAAATTTCGCCGTGGAATTCCGCCGTGAGTCGATGAGAGAACGGTTTAACGAGGCTAAGGCCGCGTGTTACATTGAAACGATGACAAAAATTCTCTCTAACTAACGCGTTTCCATAGTTGCGTTCACATTCCGTTGTTGCGAGTCCTGATCTCGGGCGAAGCTAAATACTTGAATCATAATCTATTGCCTTTTAAGTTTGCTCAAAATTGTTTATAGCTTAGAAGAAGCCGTGATGTATCAGTGCTCTTTAATGTGGGTGCTATATTGCTTTAGAATCCATCGTACGGGTATTTCGCTTTTTAGCACCCATCGCTCTAACATCTTGCGCTTTGACACCCATCGCTCTATCATTCATCGTTTTAGTATTCTGCGTTGTAGCACCCATTGCTCTAGTATTTCGCGCCCTTACAGGCATCACCCTAGCACCCATCGCTCTAGCATCCATTACTCGCTGCTTACATGCACGCGATCTGAAGCCGATTCGCATCTAAACCCGCGATCCCTGAAAGCTTTAGTAAATATTTGCACACCGAACGAACCAGCTATTATGCTCATTGCTCGACAAATAATACAACTCCCTTGATTCGCGGAATGGAAAGTAGAAAAGAGAAGTTTGAGAGAGAGAGAGAGAAAGAGGGTGATTCGCACGTTGATAGGTGCAGTCTCGAAGAGGAAAGAAAGAGAAGAGCGAGCAGGGAGCACCACGTGTTCCCATGGTTTTAAGAACCGTGTTTGAAAGTGCACCAAGCACACCCCCGTTTACCATCCGGCCCAATTATCCCTCTGCCAACCCCTTCCATCCCTCTCGTACGTTCCGCGTTCTTTCACCAATGCCAATTACACGTATTTGCGTATACGGGGACGCGGAGAGGCGAGACTGGATTCTTGTGAATTCTTTATTGTTTCGACTACACGACGGAAAGAACAAAGGCACCTGGCCGCGTTTTTTCTTCCTTTCTCCCCTGGTTTTTCTTCTCCTCGTCGTCGCGGAATCGATACACGGACTACGATATATTACGGATCAATATTTCATTTAGCCTGGATCGATCGTCGCCCGTATTCGTTAATGGTTTAAATTCATAATTAAAAGAAAAAAAATAAAGGAAAATAATGTAAGAATTTACTCACCAAGAGCACCAGCAGCGAGCCTCATCGTGACGGGTAATTCGGAACCGGTGACCTCCGATAGCTTCCTCTTTCTGGGTCGACCCTTCTGCACCGTTGCGGAAGATGCGATAGGGCTCTGCTCCGCGGCGCTGTAATAAGCCGGAAGCGGCGACACCCCCGGGGATCCGATGTCCTCGATGTTGCTGGCTGCGTTCCCATAATCACCCGCGCAGCACAGCAACTCATAGTGGGGTCTTGGGACCGACCAGCTCGTCATTCGTGAACCTTGCTGTCGAGTATTTCAGTGGCGACCCTGCGTTATCCTCCGAGTTCGATGAACGCGCGAACGCGGCGGTCTCGCTCGCGAGAGGAGACAGACGATTGGCCACGCCGGTTTCCGCTCGATCGGATCGATCGGATCGATGGAGTCGGCTGAATCCAAGCGTTCATCGCGGATGCTTTTCGGTCTTCGTTTCGCTCGATTTTTTTTTTCTTCTCTTTTTTTCGTTGCTTTTACGGAGTGCGCGGAATGGAGTCTCTGCCCTTATTTAACGTTTGCTACTCTTTTCTTTTTTATTTTAACCCTCTCACCACTTTAAAGTCACATATATTTTTTATTCGAAATAAAGTGTTATCTACCTGATCAGAAGGAATAAAATAATGCTTCGTTTCAAATAATATTTCTGTAATTATTAAAGTTGGTATTTCAACGCTAAAAGGATTAATATGATCGAATTGACGTAGTTTAGAAACTTTCATTAGTAATTGACGTGATTAGAAAGTAATTACTCGAAATTTCTAAATATCTTTCCTGGTATCTCTTCTGATAGCAAACCGTAGCTACTGTCCGTTTGATATCTCTTTCCACGGACATAAATCTCATTGGCAATCGAAGTTACTTTAGATCGAATCCTCTCGACTCACCTCCGCTCGTCCCATGATTCGCACGATTCCCGTGTTGATCGATAAACGCCGTGGATCAATGATAAATCGACGATCGAATCGATCGAGCGGAGAGGCACCGCGACGTCTTTCCCTTTTACGAGAACGCGCGTCGAGCCCTCGACTCGATCCTATTTCACAAAATAAACCGGACATTGAAGACGCGAGAGTATGGTCGTTAGTCGATGATCGCGCGGAAGGAATGATTGAATGCCCTAAACGTCGACGCGCCTCGCGTTTCTGTCACTCTCGTCATCAAACTCGTTGATAACAAAGAGACGGCCTTCGAAGGATGGTAATTCGGGCTGGTGTTTCTCACCTACAGTAGACCAGACCGTCCCTCTGCCCGAAATGGTCGCCCTTGTTCAATGGGGTGCCACAGGAGGCGCACGTGAAACAGGCCACATGGTAGACCAGATCCCTAGCACGCATCACCAGCTCCGAGGCGGAAATTCCGGCCCGGCATCGAGAACATCGCGACACGGCGAACAACCTGAGGACAGAATTCACCAAGAAATCCACTGGTTAACCCTTTATACCGTACAATTTATGTAGAATGATGTTTCCTTAAATTATCATCGGGGGGGTGGTAATTACAAAATTTTCATTCTAATATTCATACTCTTCAGAATTCAAATACTTGAAACGTTCGAGTGATTTAAATTCAATTTCTAATCGAAAGAAATCCTGAAAAATCACCTTCCATCCTCTAACTAGCTACCGATAGAACGACTCAACTACATCACGCTGGTATCTGTCCACCAATCAACCCTCTTAATACCGCGAAATCGCTTCGATTCCCTCCGGCCCTTCTAACCGAGGCGAGTATGCATGTTCCGGGTTCCTCGGAGGAGCTGTAACCCGTTCTCGATCACGCGTTCTTCGTAGAAATCCCCTAATTACAAAATCAACGATCCCGATCGTCTCTCGAATTCATCGATCCTTGCCTCTCCGGAGGCACACGTGACCCCCGTTGTTCGTGACTATCGGCTCGGACCAAAATCGGAGAACAATGCCGTTCCCCTCAGCGAGTTTTTTCTTCCTTCGATACTACCATAACGTACCGGAACAGGGTGTTACAGAAGGAATACGCGGATAGGTAGGGATCCCTTACGTACTCTGGTATCGGCGGGCGACGATCGAGGCAACGTTACAGTTTCCGAAGCGCGAAAACCAAATAGAGACAAAGGGGTTTGGCCTGGATATGGATCGTTGCATATTGCATGGGGGAGCTGCTTGTATTCTTCTCTAACGAACCAACAGCCTGCAGGATCAACGGGTCTGGGGATAGGTCTACCGTGTTCCACCCTCGCTTGGAATCCCTAGCTCCTCTGTCATTCGATATATCGACGTAGTAAAAAAAGATGCTCGCCATATTGGTATTTCAAGATTATACGTGCTGGTAGCTAGAATCACTTTGATAACTATATTTCTTACACTGAATTCTAACAATGAAATTTTTCTATGACGGTAAAGTAACGCTTCTGGTGAATTCCAAGATTTAAAATGACAATTTGAATTGTCAAAGGTCCCTTTGTAAACGGGACAGCACCTATCCATTATTTCCTCGATCTTCCTTCAACGTGCTGTCAGAAAATGGTTTCAAAGCACTGTCTTCGCTCGAAGAATTTGACAGCGGGCCAAAATCTGATCTGTCAGACATTTGCGTCAGACTTCGAGCTAATTGTAACGTTTCAACAAAACCAGCGCGACGTTATTTCCTACGCGAGTCAAAAATATAACGAAATAAAAGACTTTGACAGGGTTGCAATTTTTTTGTATGCAAATGTCACGGTGCGACAGGTTTTTGTTTCAATTTAAACGACAATGTAATTATATCGCGTTCTACGTTTAAAGGTGAGAATTGAGATATTAAAATGAGAATTTATAAGGAATGAAATTAAACGTGGTCGTTACATGAAATGGTAATCAGATGCAGGGGATCTGTTACTGTGTTTTTGTCTATGAAAACCGCATTCTCGTTGCAATTCAAAGGGCTAAGTTACGAAGCTACTAACCAATGCGACAAAGAAACTATTCGTTGCATAATTCTCTGTATCGTCGAAAGCGTGAGAAGGTGGTTTCTTGTCTGTTTTTTCTTTCATTGGAATCGTTAAATCGACGAGCTTCGACCAGCGACAAGCGTTAAATATTCAATCCTTTATGAATTATTCGTTACAGAAGCATTCTTGCACAACTTCTCCAAAGCTCGACTGGTCTCGTGAATTAATCGATGAGAAAAGTGGAAACTCTTGGAGTTTCAATCTTGGGCAAACTTGTTGTTAAAATATTAATTCTTACTATAAGTACGCTTTGAGTCATTCTGACCTGGTACCTAAAGAATTGTTATATAATTTCACTGCACTAAGGTCTTATTGTGTTTCTGCTGTTCTTGAGCATTAGTTTCCTATTTCTTTTACAAAAATGAGAGACGATCGAATTTCTAATTTGTCCTGTTTCAATCCTATGATCATTGTCCTTGTCCTTCATCAACCTACGACCGAGAGACTCGATGGAACGAAATAATTAAAGGGAACAGAAGGAAGGGGTGTTCGGTCTAATATGAGACATTTTTCTGGCTCGTTACAGCGAGAAAGATGAAACTAAAGACACGTGCCATAACGAATGTAGTGTTTTGTGATCGAAACGTTGCGAACACTATCATCGGTTTGTCTTTCTTCGAAGATTATATGTTCTCGATTACTCTTATCGGTGAGACTAAGTATATCAGGAATTTTTCATCGCTAAAATTACCTACAGAGAAAAAATGAAATCTTTCGGACTTAAAATCAATTAACGCGAATATCGTAATTACGATCGGCGTGTTGCGAAGAAGCAAAGAACGGAAACAGCCGCGCAAAGGAACGATCCAGCGAAATCGATCGATCGAAACGCCGTACCGGCACGAAGAAAAACGAAGTGTCATCCGGTGGCTCTGGAAATCGTGACCGCGTGTTTTTATCGCGGCGAGTATATCACCGTGTGGAATTTCAGATCCCGGTTCGGGTGCCTAGCCAGCGGGGCTCAGAGTTGGCCATTAGTAGACATTTTGTGTGGTCCGGGCGAAGTTTTGAGCCGACCGGGCGCTCCTATGCAAATTCGCGGATACCCCAATAAATACTGGAAACGGGAAGCCGTACACCCGTTCCGGAGAACCGGGACCAAAGAATCTTGCATTAATCCCTAGCGTCATCCTGGTAATTCGACATGAAACTACCTGACGAATAGCTACATCCGCTTTGTTTCGTACGGTGATAGGGTTGAAAATCAAAAGAACGTAGAAAAAGTAAGTGAAGGGGTTGAAATAGCGAAAAGACACCACAGAAATGATCCGCGGAAAGCAAAAGTCTCGAGATACGGTACAACCCTCCCCGGTACGTTTCTAATCCTCTTACAACTACTTCCACTAACCTATAATAATCCTCTTTGCAGTAGATGTTGCCATCCCTGGCGAAACAGGTCAACTCGGCAGCCAATGGTACCCGACAGTGGCAGCAACGTAAGCAACCACAATGCCACGCACGATCCGCGGCCCTTAAGTACCATCGTTCGGCTATCTCTCTGCCGCAACCACCGCAGCCAAGACTTCCGTCGCTGTTGTTGTTGTCACCGGTGGCAATCTGCCGATTGCTGATCGCACCATCCCCTGGAGGGGGTGTGCTGCTACCACAGCCGACTTCCTTCAGCATCTCGATTCGAACCGCCTCTGCCACCTACGCATTCTGTCACCAAGAAACAACCTGACAGTTTATATCACGATGGGTGCATCTTTCGGGCACATCGGACAGAACAGATTTCCATAAGGTATCGTGTTATTAAAATTATGTTATAAATAGGAGAATTCATTAACGCGAGGTAACAATGGAACACTTTCCAAATCTCCCAATAGTTTGTCCCCGAATATCACGGTGAAAATTCAGTAAACTCTAAACTTTTTTCTCGACAATTGGGAGTCCTGAAGAACGAAGGACTCGTCTACTCGGGAGCAAAGGCTCCGCATTCATTCAGGGCACTTCTCGGTGGCGGCGCACGCAAGAACCGATGAATGAAAACAATTCGTGACTGCTGTCCCGTTAATGAATGACTCCCAGTGGTGGTGGTGGCGATGGTGGTGGTGGCGATGGTGGTGGTGGTGGCTCTCTTGGTTTCGAATCGGCCGCGAGCTAATTAGTAGAAGCTTGCGGATCGCCACAATAACTCAACGTCCTTTACGAGCACGGGCCGCACGTGATTTCCGTAAGTTAAATGGAGAAGGTGACGTCGTCTGGAATCAACTGTACACCTCGTTCTACCAAGGTGACGCCGTTTTGCTGGCGCGCTTGTCACCGGACGTATTAGGCCGAACGTGTGCCAGCTGATTTACAACTATTCTCCTCTTGTTCTTTCTTTTCTTTTCCTTCTTTTCTTGTTCACCTTTCTTCCGTCCTTTTTTCACGGAGATTTTGGTCGAGCCACAGAAGGGTGGTTTATGGGGTCGCTCGAACGCGAGCCCGGAGAAGAGCTGCGAACGAGATCGAAACGCGAGGTATACGCGGATCGTGATCGAGTTGTTTCTACACCGATGGAAATAATTAGAGGATCAGATTCTTGAACGATTTCAATGAAATTATCAACGAATGCAGCTGGATACGTTAAATGCCACACGTATATGCCATTTGAATTTTCATAAGAGTCTAATCAGAAATATTGGTATTGAAATAATAGCAACAATGAAATATTAGGGAAATTATTGGGAAGCCATTGGTGCAAATGATCCTCCAATTATATTCAGTAATTTCAATTCTTGTTAGGGGTGGTGTTCTATTTATTTAGGAATAAAGAGGTGAAATTTGATTAAATAGAAATGAGATTCATAGTCGTGTCAAAACAGAGCACACTATGAAATTTGATAATCCAAATTCCTCGACACTTCGAAGTGCTAATTGTGTCAATCAACAAACACAGCGCGAACAATTTACAGAATATGGTGGCGGATAATTTCATGGATGTTTTACCGTGAAAATCTTAACGATCACCTACCTGAGTGTTCAGTTAATCAGCTGGAAATTCGCCGGGGAATACCAGCGACTCCGTCGACGTCTTTAACGTTCGTTTCTACTGTTTTCTGTCGGCCGTCGCTCGTTCGTTGCCGTCGCAGCGATCCTGCACCGTGAGTTTATTGCACCTCGAATCCGATTATTTCCATCCGAACGATTGCAACGACCCTGAACCACCGGTAACAAGGTTTTCCAGATTGTGAATATGGGTGATGGTCGATCGCAAGATCGAGCTGTTTTGAGATCCGTCGGAGAGCGTCGCGACGTTGAATGCTTGAGACGAGAAATATTGGACGATCAAAGCGGATTGTCTGTCTCTAATTGCGAAGAGATTACTAATTTCAACTCCTCCCTTGTAACTTTGCTAAGAATATTTAAATGAAAAGAAGAGGTAAACGTGTACGTACACAAATTCAGAAGTGATGAAGCACTTTACCATTTCAAAATGATTAATTATCGTTACAGTAAATTTTATACACAAATCATCCTAATTATCCCTGGCCTAGTGATAGATACAGTGTCTAATTAATGTGCATGAATATCCTTTAAAGAACACTCGAAATTCACACAGTTCTAAACGTCTTCATATTCTACAAAAACCAACCATAAGCAATTGAAACACCTTTAAAGAAAGTCTAAAATCATTGACTCGAAGACCCCATTGCGGTTAACCACTACCATCGATACTTCTCAACTAAACGACCACACTCCACTACTTTCGAGGAACCATCGGATCACAATGTTTCCACTCGAAGAACACTTTCATCCTCGATCGTCCAATGTTTCTCGTTTCAACCCTTTTCGAATGTACCTGTCTGCTCCGGTTCCCGATCGCGGTGCTCCGTTAAGTATCTTATCAGCTGGTACCGTTGCAGCACGTTCTCGCGCGAGTCGAGCGACGGAAGCGGCGCGGCGCGATGCCGAATCGTATCGAACCGGAAGACGCCGCGAGACGCTCCTCTTTTTTCGCCGGCGAGGGTAAAATTGTGCGCGCCACTGGAAGCGGATAAGCTCGTTGGAGAGTGGCAGGCAAGGGAAGCTGTTCTCCGTCGGCGTAATAGTACGATCCTGGGCTGGCCATCCAGCGCCAGGGGCGGACGTCGTCGAGGCAGAATAGAGGGGTTGGCCCCCGCGTGTACGTCGCACGGGGTGGGGTTTTCCACGGCTGCCCTCGAGGGGTAGAGACGTCGCGTCGCGTCGCGTCGGCACGTCGGCGTTTGCGCGTTCACGAGCCGCACGTCCGTCCTCGTTCCTCGTCGACGGCGACGCCTGCCCACAGTCGAGCTGACGCATCGACGCTGTAACCGACGCTCGATTGGGGATGATGGAACGTCTTGAGTGTTTTCGGGTTGTTCAGAATTCTAATGGACTTGAAAATTTTTATAGAAATTGCAAAACATTTCAGATTGTTATGTTGATCACCCATTATCGAGCTCCTTCTTTACCTTAAGCAATTAACATGGTAATTCAAATTTTACCCATATAGTTAAGTCTCGGAGCAACCGAATGACAAATAATCAGCGATATTAAAATCATCGCGAGGACACGTTTTTCGTCCGGGAATCGTGGACGGGATCGTTGCTGGCCCGTTTCAGTAACAATTTGTAACAGTATGCGTGAGTGACACGTGACTAACCGTTCGCGTGTCACGTCATTTCTCTTTTGCGCTCGCGAGTGCCTCTTCCCATTGAGAGGCACCGATTACAAATTAATTGAGAGTGAAACGCAAACGCACGACGAACGCTTTGAAAACGACGTCGCGTCGCGACGAGACTGCGGCCGCTAATCATGAATAATGAACACCGGCCCGCAGTGGAACGCTTAGGAACATTTCCAGAGGTTCGTGTGATAATTTTCCCTGATTCTCGCTGATTTCTGAAAGTTTCATCGAACTCGTCCAGTCACGCGACGAGAGAAAATTAATTATTGCTTTGTGATCAAGAATGTTGCATCTTCGTGAAAGTGAAAATCGGAAAATCGTGGTAAAGAGGATCTGAAATGAAATGAAGTTGAAACACAATGAATAACGATTTCTATTAGACGTATAAAGCGTCAGCTAAAAGGGGTTAACTTGAAGTGAAACTTCAAGTAACGAACACGCTCTCGCCAAGTCATCTCGCCTTTCTGCTCTAAAAACAGCTTCTGCCGAAAGTAGCAGTAACGACCGAAATCGCGCACCAAGTTCGGAGCGGAACCGAGCCGATGCACCTGTTTTTGTTCTGCTTCTCGCAGAATTCAGGAACAGATTTTCTCTTCCGTTTGCCCCTCTCGATCACGATCGAATCGCGACAGTTAGACGCATTGTCCCCCGCGACCAGTTCTGGATTCGCCTCTCCACGAACGACCGACTATATTTGGCACGGTGCAACGCGACGGAAATTCATCGTCCACCGCGACAGAATCGTGTCTCTGGAGTGCTGCTACTCTTTCTCCCTCGCTCTCGATATATCCCATCAGGTTCGTTAACCGCCTTCCCGGCACAATCGCAAGGTTTCTACAAATCGAGCCTCGCTTTTTATGTGCTCTTATTGCGAAGAGAGTTGTCGTGATTGTTAGTGGACAGATAGGAAATCATAAAGCGTACTAAAAACACGAAACAATAGAAAATTAGTTGCGTCCTGCGAGTCTGAGTAGATCCAGAAGTCATCGTCTAACCGAAACGTCATCGTTTCAAGAATGACAAAAGATTCTCAGAATAAACAAGTATTTTTCGCGAATCGTGTTGGTCGCCTAAATGTCGAGCTTAAAGGAGGTCTGTCAGAGCCGTTCGATAAAAAGCAATCATCCAATAATTCGAGCCGAGTGAAATTCAATTGAAGGCAACGAGACAACGCGGCGCAGTGGTCGCAACCCCGTTTCTCCCTGGTAAGGAGCAAAAAACCAACCAAGACCTCTCAATCAACGTGCTCTTCATCCCCCTAGTCCGCAATGTTCGAGAAGTAGGAGCAAGAGAAACGTAAGACGCTCGAAGCAACCCTATCACGCGGAAGGGTGGCCAAGGAAAGGCCTGTCCCTCTCGAAGATTTTAGGGATGCGGCGTCATATCGATCAGGGACTTTCGAAAGCAATATTAACGAAGAAGAAGACGAGTACTAGGTCTATCTTCTCTCCTTCTCCTACAATATCCCTCTCTCTCTCTCTCTCTCTCTCTCTCTCTCCTCCATTCCCTCTCCCTGTGTCCTTGTTCGATCTACTGGAGGGGAACACGAAGGTACACTAACCCCAGGTCCAAAGCAGCAACCTCTCTCCGCTAGGCGCGGCCTTGCGACGCCCGCTCGATAGAAACCCAACCGGTTTCAGCCAATGGGGAGACCGGACGAAGATAAAGCCGTCGTCCGATTGGTCGACACGCTATTCAGACTGACACCGTGCTGATGGGAAGCGGCGAGCCACGCCGTTTGGAGATGGAACTGGTCCCGCCAGCATCCGTGGATCTGGCATCCGTGCCGAGAACGAGAGTCATCTGGTGGATGCTACAACACACCGTCTTCGATGCCGATGCGTCCCGACGAGGATCCTATCGAAATTGCTGACCGGACATAGATGTCGAATCGACTTTAGATCTTGAAAAAGTTTTACATGTCTTGGAGTTGCCCGCAAGTTGATTAAAAATTTAAGTCCATCCTTCATCCAGATTGCACTTGATATAATACCAAGATTCTCCTTTCGAATCGCAACCCAGAATTTGGCTACCAACACGAGTTATCGAGACGAGCGATCGAATGAGTCAGCAGGACAGGGACTACCTCGTCAAAGTCATCATCGACAACCCCCGTCAAAGTTTCCCCAACGCGTCATCTCCCTACCGGACCCTATAATCCCAGCGGAACAGAAGATTAAACCCGATCCTCTTCAACTACCTACGGAACAACGATCGTGTCCCTGCGACTAAGGAATCGGGAAACTTGTAGCTAGGTCACAGAGCGCAGGTCTACTGGTCGTTGTGCTGAGCCGATCGCATTATGTAAAATACGGTGCGCCGTTCGCTAGGTTATCTGCCGTTGTAAGAGTAAATAAGTGCAAAGATATAACGGTTAATTTCCGTGTTAACCGCGTTTTATCGCGACGTCTATCCGCGGCGAGCCGCCCAAGCAGCAGGATACCCCGGCTCTCTCTTGCAGTGTGAATCTGCCGCGGTCGTCGTTCCACGCGTGTCTCTACCGTGTGCCCGCACACCGGTGCATCCGTGGCCCGTGTGCGTGGTGTACGAACACACGAACACACGTCACTTCGAGTGGTCCCTGTTTGATCAGGGAACGTGTGTTCCACGCGGTCTCGCGTGTTACTCTGCGTTTGTAAGCTGCTCGAGCTTGCATCTCGCGCTGAACGAGGACGCGACGAGAGCGGACACGAGCTGCGGATCGGCTGAGAAAGGGTGGGACGGAACGAGGACAGGGAGGAAGAGAGAAAAGGTGCGGTGCGTGTGCGCGTGCATCAAGTATATTTATGTGCGGCACCGTCACGTGGGTAAGGATCGTAGATTGCGGCCGGGACAGCGGTGTTGGTGAATGAGGCTGACGTGGATAAATGGTGCGTTTCCCCGCGGGAGACGTATACCCGGTGATCTTCCGGGGCCCCTTGGACTCGGTACAACGGCCGATCGGTGGTGCCAGGGCAACTCGAGGAAGCGAACCGCCTCGAATGCAATCGTCGGACCGATTGCTACCGCGTGTGCGCCGCCGCTCATGCCTGACCGTGACGGTGAAACCGCCTTGGTCGTCGATGGGTGGCGGGTCTCCGACCGCTCGTCGGAACTTGTGGGAAAACGCGAGGATCTGGTCCATAGAGCAAAAAGCGTCGGTACTTGAAAGAAAAAGAAATACGGAAGCGCAGAGAAAGTCTGTCAAACGGTTGGTCCTGTTAGACGTGACGGTTTTCAAATTTATCTTTCTTCCTTGATTCAAGGAAAAATAGAAGAATGTCCTTTGTAAAGTATGACGAAGATACTTTCTAACAATCGTAACGCAAAATATTGCCCCTCTTCGCTAGTAAATCACATTATCCTTCACATCTGTATTATCTCCCAACAAAGTAACAAACCGTTACACGTGGCAACGAGAAGGGAACGTCTTAATTAGAAATTCTTGAGCAACCTAGGAGACTACGTATATCAGATGCTGGAGTACTTAATTTATCTTCCAAAAATGTCCCCTTCGAGAGAACCGTCAAAGTCTAAATCACTTTTACAGAAGGAAAGGAAACAGATGGAAGTATAGTTGTTAATTTTGTATGATGTCTTTGATGAAACATCACGGATCAAACCCTCGGCGTATTACCGATCCACGTGTCTGCGAATCGAGATGAATCATCCGACAGATAAATCAGGGAGAAGTTGAGAATGTTCACCGGTTCTCCCGAAACGTGTCCATGTGATCCGAGCAGGTGGTACTGGAACGATGTTGGCCGAGATATCGCGGCGCGAACACGCATCGTCCGACACGAAAGCCGTAGGGAACTATGCTTCTCTTCTAGAGTGTGAGATGCATTTTTCAGCTTCCATTTGCAGACAATCGACGCCGGTAATCACGGGTTGGGCGCCGGAAGCCGAGAAGATATTCGCGCGCTCGCGATCAGATAACCCTGCACTGCCTTCGCCTGACCTGGCTGCCTACCTTGCTTTCTTATTCCTCCTCTAACCGCTCGTCCCGGCCTCCGTTTCGCCTGACAGGCCGGCATATCGCCAGAACAATGAGGCGACGAACTTAACAGGATCCGTAAACCGCGAACTAAGGGGCCGAACGCGGAACTGATCGCTATTCTGCTGGATGTTATTCGTTGCTCCAACAAGATGATCGCGTTTATAAAGCGACAGCTTTAATTAGATTTTAAGGATCGCGGTGGTGAACACTACTCCTCGTCAAGATTTAAAGAAGACTCACTAAAATTTCATTTATTTCTTTTTTTTTTTTCAATTATTCAATTGCATTGAACTTGTAGTGTTTCGTTGCTCGTTTCCGGTCTTTGAAATCGAGCCATACGTTAACTATGCCGACGCAAGCTTAATTAATTTCCGCTTAATTATCCAGCGGTAACCGTAAACCAGCCTGAATGTTTCCGAATTTCCTTCCCTCGAGATGCAACAACTGCTAAAACGCGATGTATTTTAATGAAATTTTTAAGTCCCCTTGGAACACGTGTCTTCCGCTTGTTATTTATGCAGGAAATTGCGGCAGATTTCGGTAGCTTAATGATCAACAGTGGTGCAAAATCAAGGGCACAGAATTAATTTGAAGGAAATTGAAACTTGAAATTATGCTGTTGTCTGTATTAATTTGGTGTTCATACAATTTTCTCTACAATTCTCTGCAAAAAGTTATAAGCAACAAATCATTCGGTAAATAACGTCCGAACTCCCAAACCAGAACATCACACCAATTACTCTCCTCGTCAGAGAGATAAAAACACAAGGAATCATTGGCGAACATCATTGTATACACGTACAATATTACGGCAACGCTTCCGAAGCGGAAACGGGACGAGCAAATGAAATTATAAAAATTCCATAAACAGACAACACACGCTTTTTTTCCTCCTGCTCGTAACTCAACGGCATGCCTTGTCTTTCTGTACGACCGGCGCCGTTAACCAGCCGCCATTTATCAGCAGAACGTAACGCAGCTTGGCATCGACTATATTTCCTACTCTTCCGTTTAAGAGAACACGATCCTCCCCCGTTGCTTTTCTTTTTCCCGCATTTTCCTCGACGTAGAGAGCAACCCTGAGCCTTGTTTCTCGCCGACAATGTTCCTTTTTTTCTTCCTGAAGACGCGCGAAAAATCGTGCGGCTAACGCGTTTCCTAGCCCATAAAATACGCGCTCTTCCTCCGTTTTTTTTCCCGCCCTTTTCCCGGCATGAAAACGCGATCCGGCCGAAGAATGAAATTCTCGTTACTCTTACGATGGGTAGGTTCGGTGTCGAGCATCCGGCGTCGGCGCGATTTATTTCAGCTTCCGTCTTTATCGTCGGCTAGGATCACCAGGTGAAAGAGGATATAGACCATAACCGCTTCGCGTTGGCTGGCTGCTTTGCTCGCCTCGCCTCTTGTATCCTATTATACGAGTACGCGAAAAGCATCGCGGACGGGATAGGAGAAGGGGAAAAAAAAAGATAGAATGACGAAAAGGGAATAAACGCGAGGACTCATTAAGAGGCTCGATGATAAAGTGAGTTATGGCACTCGCGGGGAATCGAGCCGTTCTACCAAGTGTGATTGCAACAGTGTTTCCGCCTTGCTGAGTCCGTTGCTTCGTTATTTATGCGAGCATCTTGTTTCGAGTAATATCTAGCTGACCCTTGAACGAGAGCTTGTGGAAAGTAACCCTTTCTAAACGCTTCGAACAGAAAATCTAGAAACGAGAATAGAATAACACGAGTGATTGGGGATAAAATTTTTGTTATTGTTATTTTTCTCAACAATTTGGATAATTTCAAGAAGTCGAGCGACGCGATAGCCGTCGTTAATGGCGCGAAACAGTAGGAAGGGATGAATCGAACGTCTTAGGAATCAACGAGTAGGAAGGCTTGGATAAACAAGTCGAAGCCACCCCGTTAAGCGGGTCGTCAAAGAGGACAAACGAGGATGTCGTGTGGCGGAAAGTTGACGCGAGCCAGGGTGAGAGGCGGCGTTTCTCTGATGTGTCGCCACGAGCCTCGTTTCACGTCTCTGGGCAAACAATATCCTGACTTACACGTATTTTTGGTCGTTCGAAGACTCGTGGCACCGTGTTATTTCTGCGACGAGGGAAAACGATTTCGAACAGGCTTCCGCTATTTTCTCGTTTCGTTGACCGTCCCAGTGGAAACGGACGTGTGTAGTCAGACAAGCCGTAATTGCAGTCATTCTTATATAAGGAAGCATCGTAGACAGATGAAAAATTTGCATGTTCCTGTTTAGCCACTTTGGTAAAACTTGAGTCGATAATCGTTAAAACAAAAATTCGGATATTCGATTAATATCGTGTTTAAATAATAGCGTGTATACACTGAAATCAAGTAGGCTTTATATTTCTATAGAATATTGATATCGAGGAACATCCGAAAAGTAAATTTCAGCAAATGGAAGTTTTAATTACGCGCAGGAAACAACGTAACTATTTTCCAAACAGTCAACCCTTCCGCGTTTATCCCATCAGAAATCGCACTGGACATTTTTCAAGTGTGTTTACGTTCCACTGGCAGGTCCCGATGCATAATCCTGGTCGCAGAATGGTTCCGGAGCGTCATATCCTTCGGCACGATTAAAGGACCGACGACTTTAATCCTGGACGAGCGTCCACGGGCAAGGCTGGAATACGATTCCAGCATAAAGCGACGACTTTATGGTTATTCGACGTACGATTCGCTGACGGGTTCACTTTGTGGAAGACAACGGGAGGAGAAAAGGGGAATAGGGAGGAAGACGATGACGAGGAGGAGAACGAGGACGACTCACGAACGACGACAAAACGCAGCAGCCACGCCGGTTTTGCTACCTGAATGCTTGCCCCTTGTGCGAGCTTTCTTTCCTCTAACGGGTGGCTCGATACGAATCTACTATCTGGTATTATATCTAAGACTTTCTAATGAAATACAATTGAATTTTAATAACTTTAATTTTTACAGATAAATTGCAAATACAATGCTTATTCTAAGATAGCTTACATATTTATTACGAGATTTCATGCAGTGCACATTGTTTGCTAATAGAAAGAAAAATAGCATTGCTAGTTTGAATAGATTTATTAGAAGGTTCCTAGGTGAGTTAACTGCGCGTTAATGAAACGCAACGTGTGGTTGAAGTATATCTTAGAAATGAACATCTAACTTCAGCAACTGGTGTAGCCATGAATCAAGTGAAACTTCACCATTTGTCCGTTCGTTCCTTGAACGAACTTCTCCTCGTTCAATGATCCAATCTTTCTAAATATATTATTGTTACTTTCCAACTTGATTTCCTCCTGCCTTCAAACTCGTTCTTAATGTTTCAACGGGTAATTGAATATTTATTAACTCGGTGCTTCGATGCAACCTACACTTCGAACAGTTTTAATATGATTGCATTTGAATTTATACATTGTACAGTTAATCATCCCTTTTGCAATTCCATCGTCTAAAAGTCTAAACCATCGAAAACTGTTCTTTGTCTGCAGAAATCCTCGGCCAATTTTCCTCTTCCAAGCAAAACCAAAAAATCCTTACTAACAAATGGAGTGCAAAGATTTTCAATAATGAAGGAATTTTGTGATTAATCGGAAGAATCGAAGGAATATCAATGATATTGAGATGGTACACCCTGTAGAAGGGTCTGAGAAGGGCCCTGGGTGCGAGAGGCGTAGGCCACGAAGGAACCTGGCGCGCTGGCAGTTGATGTGTGGCCATTGTGACGGAATTTTGATAACGACAGAGAACGCCATGGGGTATCCCGCGGCGCTACACGCGATTCGGACGTCGGACATAATTCTCGTAAAATTCTCGGCTTTATGGTAATGCCCTTGTCTACGTATCGCCGTGGCGCACCGCGTCAGCTTCGAATTTTCTCCCTGAACCGGCTCGATGATTTTTTCTTATCGCGATCGACCGAACTGCTGGATGATCTTCTCACCGGTATCTTCGCTTTGTGATCGTCAGGGTAAGTACTGAACTTTACAGTCTTTCGATATGACAAATTTTTATTTCCAATAATTTTTTATTTTTTATCTCCACAAAATTTATTTTGAAATATGAAAAATTAAATTTTTTTCGTCGCATCATTGCAAATATCTGAAAACTCGTACAGAACTCGTTCTAATTAACACCTTGTACGTATATTTGAAGTGAACCCAAGTTAAATTGGGAAGAAATCGTAAACAACAGATGTGTAATCTTTCGTAAGAGAAACACGAGTACTTATGCTTGATTTTTTATTAGAGTATCAATGCCGTCACGACATTTTCACACGAGTTACCAAATTTCTCACAAGGTCCCGTCCGTGAACAGAGTCGTAAGACGGCAGATAAAAATCTCACGCAACGCCGGAAAGTCCGCGTTCCTAGCTGTCTTGATTCTCGGTTTAACCGCGAGTATCAACCTCATCTTTATCATCGTGGTTATGGCGTCGCCACGGGACGCCGTCCCATTCGAGTTCTAGCCTCGAAGCCGGGCTAAACGAGTTAAAGGCTAAAGATAAGCGCGACTGAGGTTAAAGATCGCCATTCCCTTGTGTTTCCATTTTTCCGACCGAAAAAAAAGAGTCAAATGGAAATCTATGATTCTTCTTGATCAGTTTATTAATTACAATAATTACCATTTTTCAATATTCGACCAAACGACTGAAAATATAACAAAACACAATGATAATTTACCTACTAAAATATATCCGCAATTGTACCAACTATATGTATCGATTCGAAGATGAAGAAAAAAAAAGAAGTTGATTGATTTTCAATGAAGACGTTTAGACGATAATCCAGCCGGGCTTTTTGCTACCCCGTAAACCCTGTCGATGTTTCCACGATCGTTTCCCCTTGCTCTTTTCAACGCTGGAAAAATCGTTGGCTGATTAAAGGGTCGCTTAGTATGCGTGGTGCAGGGCCACTGATAAATAGCTCTGCTTCTTTCGTGTTCGCAAAAAGCCCTCTAGCGCCACGACCCATTCATGCCGCATACGAAACCATATGTAGCGTTGTCCTCGCCGTTACACTTGCACGAGATTCCAGACCCAGCAGTCTGTTGCTCGTGCAGAAATTTACATTCCTGGTCGGATACTCTGAGCCCGTGATAAATACCATTTTCTTCCTCCTCGTTTCCTTTTTTTCTTCGGGCGTACACCGCTTGCATCTTTATTTTTCATTGCCACGATAGCTCGAGGGGTGAAGTTGAAATTTATTGGTCGATGGAAACGAAGGAAATTGTATTACTCCATTTGAGTCGGTTGAAAAACGTTCGATGTGGGATTCTTCAAGTTTTCTGAAGAACTTTGTTAAGGGGGATGTTATTCGAGCGTTTAACATCGATTTTGCTTGTTTTCTGGAAAATTCCTACGTGAAATGATCATTCGAAGATCGTTATTCCTTAAACGGTAAATTTCTTCTTGATGAATCCGCAGATATATAGAAAAGAATGTGTATGAAAAGCATTTCAATGACATTGACTTTGATAGACACTATATTTATCGACACATTTCTACATTTTATTTCACGAAGCGATTGCATTCACTCGCGTTTGCCACCACGCATAATGAAATGCCATTGATGAATACAATGTCAGGAATTTCAAGGTGTCAAGGGGTAAATAAATTTTCTGAAAAAGAAATACTACCAAAAGAGCTTCTAATAACGTCGAGTGGTTCATTTCTCAGCGACGAGTGAATGTTCGCTGATAACCAACGATGCGAGGAGCTTCAAAACGTGGAAACAAGGCGGTGAACAAAAATAGTGTTCTCCTCTCGTATTTTCTCAAAGCATCGTGTCGTTGGTGCTGCGGCACTTTGAAAAAAACGGCTGGAAAGTCGTAGCGGCTGGTTGAAAAATCTATGCTTCTCGCGGAGATGAAAAAACAGAGGGTGAGGCGGAGATACAAAGACACGGACGATGAGGGGGAAGAAAAGTATCGTTTTCTTTTTCATCTTCGTTTCGTTTACGATGCGATTGAAACCGGTGTCCCTTTTAGACAGGGCTAGACCGTTATAGTGCAAAGTGGTTGCGAAAAGGGGTCGAGGGGTATGGTGAGGTATCATCGAGACTAATAATTAAAATGCATCCGGTCGAGTAATAAAGCTTTTAACGATGTGCGTGCGCGACCGATTTTTTGTCTACGTATTTGTCGGCCTTTTACGATACAGTTTACTGCTTATTTAATTCGTCCCTTCTGCGCGATCGATTTAGTTTTGTTCGGTGCTCGACACCCTAGACGCGACGACCAGCGTCGCTCTACGGTTCTGGGAAATACCGTAGGGGTTGAAAGTTGATTCGTGAGCGAATAAAACTTTCTGTTACAAATATTAAATTCTGGCATGAATGGCGGTATGTAACTTCTGCATATTATATTTCAATTCAATTCGAATGTAATACCTTCCATGAAGCTATGTAAAATAAGCATGCCTCGCATAGCCTAGGGCGGTAATAACCCGTGTTACTAGAAATATCATCGATTAATTTATTTTAATCTCCATCAATTCCATTCGCTACTTTAACCTACCGTAATTGAAAATTCTTTTCATTTCTTCATTTTCTAATCGTATAATCAAGTTTCTGAAAGCTACATCGCGCTCAGCATGTTGTAATCAGTTTGTTCAGAGAAAATGAATTCCTCTTACTTACCTGGCTACGCGGTTTAATACATTTCTTTATTTTGCCAGTCCTGTGAACGATGCTGCTGCTACTGCATCGCGATTATATTCGTTCCTGTTCGCGTAAAAAGATCAGGGTGAGTCCGGTACGGCTCGCGAGGGATCTCTTGGTTCCCTTAACGACCGAACGTCGTCCATCGACGATGCGATTTCTAGCTAAACGGCGGGATAATTCGTTCCACGTAGAGATAAAAGTTGGCGAAATCGTTGGACGAGGCTTGGCTCGAACGATTTCCAACAAACTCCGAGAGAACAGTCACCGTCGATAATCTCGTTCGGCGAGTCGTCTTTTTTCAACATCCTCTCCTCTACCTTCCACTCGTGGCGCAGCCTCTGCGCGATTTCTTACCGACGCGTCTCGAAGGATACGATAAATCATCTCGTTTCTCTCGAGCATTTTTATTTGACAGCAACAGCCATGCAACGACTTTCCAAAGGCTACGTGCGCGGTGAATCAATACCCGTGCACCGTATCCGCCCTCGAGAGCTTGTCAGGTGTTCCCGATAGAGCAGCTTATTAAAAAGCTGCTCTCTACACGCTGATAGAAAGAAATCGATTCGTTCAGTCTTTCGTGGGAAGTATTTTTGTTTTCGCTGGAAATTCTCCTTTTCTTTCGTTTCTTTTTTCTTTTTCAAGGGGATGAAACGGAAACTTTGTCACGCATGCGACAGATTTCGAAACGTCTAAAGTCTGAGACTAAAAATGGCACTCGCTTATATTTCATAGTACAAGGAAGAAACACGCGGAGTCAGCGAATCAAGTTGCCAGAAATTTCGCCGTGTAATTCTAGCGAAATTCAATCGCGCGATAAGCAGCGTGTTGATCAATCAGCATCGCTCGAAATCATCAAGAACGACCCTTTGATGATCTCGCGAGAAGATCACCGGGCTATGCAGACGCGTTTCCGTGGCGCTAGTTCTCGCCCTTTAATTAAAACGAGCCCGAGCGCGCTAGCCTGAGAAAGAGGGTGCGAGATCGAGCGAGAGGCGGATAGATGAAGAGAAGAAGGGAAAAAAACAGAACGAGACGGAGAAAGGGAGCGAAAGGAGAAAAAAAAAATGAAGTAGAAGGAAGAGGGGGAGGGGCCGAGCAATAATTACTACTGGGCTCACAGTTTCCAGGCCCGATGCCGGCGAACGGTCGTGTAAAAAATCTCAACGCCACCCACACCGCGAGTCAGAGGTTAGTTATTCATGCGTCAAGGCGCCACCGTAGAAGTTATTCGAACCAGAAGAGTGCCTAATGCGAGGCCACGAAATCCTGAACACATCGTGTACCGTATGGTTTATCAATATGGCGGTGAAGAAATAAAAAGAAGTCTAATGAATCTTACGAAATTGTTGGAACTGTCATAATATACAGAATGTTTGAAACAACTGGGCAAAAGTACACGTACAGTTGAAAATTGTAGCGACAGTGAAAAAATTGAAGGGGTGGATCGAATCACGCGTGCACCTCCCCTGTTCCGATAGGGAAGAGCGTGCAAGACTCATACATGGCGACACATTGAACGTGCACACGCGATGCACCGCACTGTAATTGAACGTATCGCCGTGTATCATTAGCGGAGGACAGACTCTCTCTCTTTCTGTCCTTCGTGTCCACGGCTGCCACCCAATTACACAATTGCGTATTCCGGGAAACTGTACGACGGAACCGTAGAAACCGACCTACAGCGACTACAGATTTTCGGGAAGCACGATCCGTGGCCCGGCATTTTGGTCAAAGACACGCAACGACGATTTTCGAGTCGCCTACAGTCCCAACGGGCTCGCAAATCAGTAAACAAACGGCCAGAGGGGATTTTTTAGGAAGCAGTTGAAACAAAGTCGGCGAGATAAGAACAGGGTGCGGCTGTGAAATTGACTAGGTCGAATTGGTGAGACTTGTCAGGAGCCCTTTTGCGGGTCACGCAATGTGGGTCACGGTTCTTTTTTCTTTCCGATTCTCGAATCTGTCCGTTCGGACTTCTTGGATCGAGCGTTTCCGGAATTTTCGTTCGTGACTTTGCAACAACGGTTCGATTATCTTTGAATTTGGTTATTCAGCTTCTGAAATTTTTCTACAACATCCTAGCAATTAATTCCATCGAACTTCAAGCTTATATATCCATCTCTTCGAGGTTGTTCTTTCATCCCCGCTATCCGCCTAACGAATCCTGAAGCTACCCTGGTAGCAAGGACAATCAGCGTACGTCGAGGTCCCCGGACGAAAAGCCTGATCAGAATTACCTCAACGAACATAAATAATCGTCGGTTGGTTCGAACAGGTTATTTACCATGGCCGATTCTTCTCCGATCGTTTAACCATGCCCATTCCCGCGTCCTGCCATCAATATTAACCATCGAACACTCGAAGCTAG